GGGGGGGGGGGGGGGGGGGGGCTTGATAGAGCCTTTTCTAATGGCAATTTCTGGAAGCCAACAGCACAAGGCTTTTGAGTAAGAGACAGATGAAGACGGTAGCTAAGTCCAAACATAGGAAGGCCACAGTTAAAAACCAAGGAATTCTTCAACTCCCCCTAAAATGGCCCTTCTGATATGGGCAATGGGGCCCCATTCACTCTATGGCCGTCAGCAAGCCCCCCAAATGTTAAGTGTGCCCTTTGCCAACCCAAAGGTTGCCAACCTCTGCTTTAGAACAATGAAGCCAGAACCTCGGAAAACCACAAGAATAAAGCAGGATTCCTCCAGCCATCCACCAGGAGGGTGAAATTTTCATCTACCTCTGCTGGTCAATGTTGATGTTAAAAGAAATGTGACTCTGCACATTGTACCTGTGTATTTCTTTCACACACACCGTCAAATTCATTCAAACCGGCCATCAAACACTCGCATCCCAATTCTTAGAAGTTTCTCTCTTTTTTTTTTTCTTATCCAGTTACAGGACTTGGTAACCCTGGGCGATTCAGCGTTCATCTTCTGTTACAATTGGTGTTTGAGGTAGTTGAGCAGCACTAGGGGGATGTCCAGTTGATCCACAGCATTGGGTTGGTTTTCCAGTTTCATAAACCTCCTGATTGCCAGTCTGCATTGGGACATCAAGGATTTGGGGAACGCTGGAACAGCAGGAGGGGACGGGGGAGAGAGACGTGGTGATTGCTGCATGATGAACACTGCTAAGACTTCACCCTTGCAATGCCTCCAAGGACCATCACATCAATATAAATAAAGAACAAAGAATCATACATGCTTTGTGTGTGTTGGTCTGTACACAGCGTGACATTTAGCTGTTCTGTTCTGGATATGGATTGAAATATCACTGTTCCAGGCAGAACTAGTTTGTTGGGGAAAAGCATGCAAAAAAGTCAAGGATATCAGAGCTGAAGGAGGAAGGGAAGAAAGGAAAGCATAGAGAGGATTAGGGGATCTAGTGGGATCTAGGAGGGGCTGAAGGAGGGGACAAAGAAGGCATTGTGCACCACCCTTGCTCTACCAGCTTCTAAAAATCACTCCAGAACCCCAGAAACCATTTCTCCTGTAACTCGGAGCAATCAAATGTTCATAGTTTTGAGCTGTGGCTGACGCAAAACAGTCTGGCGGAATTCCTGGAGTGGGACGGTCTCTTCCATCCAGGTTGAAGGCAAAACCAGTTCTGCAATTTGTGTACCACCCGTGCAGAAAAGTATGGAAAGGTATTGTGCATGCTGTTGTGTGAGTGTAGATTTAGCTACACATATATGTCTTTTTTCTTAGGTCATGCCTTAAATTACTTTGGGTGACATTTCTTATAAATTTTATGTACATTGCATAATATTGCTTACCTTAAAAGCAAATAATGGGATGGGTAATCTATGGGATGGATGGAAGGAATAAAGAGAAAGGGAAAGAGAAAGAGGGAAGGAGAAAGAGAAATAGGGAAAGAGAAAGAGGGGAAGGGAAAGAGAAAGGGATAGAGAAAGAGGGAAGGAGAAAGAAGGAAGGAGAAAGTGAGAAGTAGGGAAAGTGAAAGAGGGAAAGAGAGAGAAAGGGATAGAGAAAGAGGGAAAGAATAAGAGAAAGGGAAAGAGAAAGAGATAGGAAAGGAAAGGAAAAAGAGAAAAGAGGGATAAGGAAGGAGAAGGAAGAGAAGGATGGATGGATGGATGGATGGATGGATGGATGGATGGATGGATGGGAAAGGGAAAGGGAAAGGGAAAGGGAAAGGGAAAGGGAAGGGGAAAGGGAAGGGGAAAGGGAAGGGGAAGGGGAAAGGGAAGGGAGGAAGACTTTAAGGCTCTGCGTAGCCTTTTGTTGCATTAAGTATACATGTTTTTTGAAAAAACGGTTACCTCTCTCTCTGGCCAACAGCTGGAGCACTTCAGGGCTTGCTGAGCTCTTATCCAGGGTGATGCCAGGCAGGTAGACGTTGGCACCGAAATCAATGAGGAGCTTGACAAACTCCACCCTGCAGCCGTGCCTCAAGCAGACTTCCAGGAGGGTCTTTGGGTGCTTAATGCGGCCGATCATGTTTCCATCCCTGCAGTTGTAGTTGGGCTCAGCCCCGAACAGCAAGAGGGCCTTGAAGCACTCCAGATGGCCATAGACTGCGGACAAGTACAAAGGTCCACAGCAGGCCACCGAGTTGGCCGCCCACTCCGGGAGCCTGGCTTTGACGTTGGGCTCTGCCCCGTGGGACAAGAGCTCCTGCAGGATCTCAAGGGCTCCCTCTCGCGCGGCCGTGAGCAGGGGAGTGCAGTTATTGTGAATGCTCCCGGAAGGACTGGCGCCCGCACCCAAGAGGGCCTTCACGCAGTCAAGGTGCCCATTGTTGACGGCAATAAACAGCGGTGTCTGGGCCTTGACGTCCAGGCTGTCCACTTCGGCTCCGTGGGCCAGGAGCACCCTGACGCACCGCACGTGGCCCTTGGAGGCCGCTAGGCGCAGGGGTGTGCCAGGCACCCCCCAACCGCTCCTACTGTTGATGACCCGTTTGTATCTCTCTTGGTGCAGCAGTAGGTCCAACAGCTGGTAGCTGTCCTGGGACACGGCGAGACTCAGCTCTTGTCTTTCTGTGTCCCCGTCTTCGTCTTCTCTGGGCTGGAGCAGGGAGAAGATCTTGGTGATATCCAGCAGGCTCATCTTGAATTGTCTCTTGAGGGGGACTTTCATTGTGAACGGTCCAGTGCTGGAAGCTAGGAGTCAGACGGGTTGTGCGTTAATGATTTTGGGTAAAGTACACGATTGACCACCTTTGTCAGTGCATCTCTTGGGTCACAAGGATCAAATCCAGTGTATGCTATTTACATGCAGATACAATGCAGTCCCTGGGACCTGCATGAATAAATGTATTTCTCTTGTGGCTGTTCCAGCATTTCCCTACAAAATAAAGGAAACACCGGGGTGTTGTCTGTCCTGGCAAGGCATGGTCTCCTTACACTATTTTATTTTATTTTTTAAATTTATATGCCGCCCATCTCCCCCAGAGGGTGACTCTAGCAGATGTCTTCAGGCCAGCAGTAAAACTTAGCACAAATTGGGATGCTGGTCTCAGACATATCCTCTACTGTAATGTTTTTCCACCCTTTCCAACAACACAAAGTGGTGTTGTTGTCAACAACACCCAAACCCACCCACCCCACCCCCCCCGGCGGCGGGCCTTCGAAGGGG